ATCCGAGAGACAGCGGGAGGCAGGAGGAACGCGCAGCTCCGCGTCAAGCGGGCCCGGACGTGCCCAAGGAGGGTTTCATTAGGGTTACAAAATGAATCTGGCTTTACAGCTGGTGTAGACCAGGCTCCCACCCCATCCTGGGCTTCCCAGGCCCAGCCGGTGCTGAGAGCAAACAGAGAAGGTCGGTTTCCGCCTAAAGAAAAGCAGAGTGAGGCTCGAACAGAGGGGAGTGCTGCGTGGTAGGGGCGAGGGCGCTCCGAGGGGCCTCCGCCGGCGGCGTCTGGGTCCCCAGCCCGGGGTTGCCTCTTTAAAGACAAACAAAGGCGAAGATGCGGAGGCTCGGAAGCCGGAGATGGGGAAATCGGTTGTCATAAAAGAGAGAGGGATTCAGAGAGGGAGACCGCCAGAGTGCGAGGCAGAGAGAAGCCGGGAGAGGAATTCAATGCCGTGTGCGCAGCAATAAAAGAATATGACCGCTATAAAAGTTTATAGCGTATAAATTTCTGAAGGTTAAGAAACTAAACAGCAGCAAAGCAAACAGCCAGGGGAAACTTTCCGGAGCTGAGAGAGCCGCAGCTGGGCAGAGGCTCCCGGCCTGGCAGGGGTAGTGGGTGGGTCCTGCTTCGGCAGCCCCCACCCTCACCCGCCCAGAACTCGGGGCTCGGGGCTTGGAGGGGGGATCCGGAGGGCAGAGAAGGGAGCGGCGGCAGGGGCGGGGGGGTGGGGAAGAACACTTTGTCGCAAATGCTTCAGAGATTGCAATTGGGGCTCTTGTCTTTGTTTTTCACACCCCCTTTAGAATCCGGCGTCGGAAACGAGGAGCCTCCTGGACAGACAGACAGACAGACACACACACACAACGCCAGCGCACGCACACACATACACACAGACACACACGCAGGTCCGGCGGGGCCAGACGTCTGGGCGCGGGCAGCCTCTTAATTCTTTTACAGTGTCATCCCATCCTCTCAGGCCTCCTCTCCCCCGACAAAAAGCCCAATTGTTTCTCCTCAGAATTTGAAACAGTCTTTTGGAGTTTAAAAAGTGCTCGGTTCCCCTTTTTACGGGCCATAAACGGCGCGCTGCTTGGCGGTCTCCGCTAGAAATTAGGGTCAGGGGTGGGAGGCGTATGTAGAAAGAAAAAAGCTTAGGATTTCTTTTTTCTTTTTTTCTCCCCCCCTCCTGTGTTTTTTTTCTTTTTTTTCTTTTAGCTTATCTACACAATTTCATGAGCCGTTTCCTGATTCCGATGACTTTTTTCATGCCCGCTTCCCTATCTCTCCCCTTTTTCCTGCTAGTTAGGAAAGTTTCTCTTGCCGCTGCTGCTTTCCCTGAAAACTGGTGCAGCCGGTGGCGGCGGCGCTTTTTCTCAGAGTAGCCGCTAGATGGCACCCTTGCTCCATGTGAAAATCCAGGGAACGGCGGCTGCGGAGGTCTGCGCCCCGCACGGCGCCTAGGTCGGCCCTGAATCCAGGAACTGAGCGCTACCAAAAGTCATGAATAATTTGCACCTAATAAAAAAAAATTGGGTTCGTATGGCCTTACCCCCATTTTATAGATTTCAGTTATAGTGGTGTTCCCCCCTCTCTTTCAACGGGCAATTTTCTGAATTTTCCCCACGAGGAGGGCTCAGTGCTTCTCACCCAGTTGCCGTATTCCGTGGGGCAACAAATGCGTGAAAACGAAGAATAATAGTAATAATAGGAATAATGAGTCCAAATCCAAAAGGAGAATTGATTCCAAAGAACGAGATTTTCCGTGAAGGGAGGCGAAAGGAAAGTCCTCGGATTCGGGTGAGCAGGTCAGGTGAGAGGGGCGAGCCGGCAAAAGGTGGGGTGGAGAGGAAGCCGCCCCGAGGCGGGCTGCCCACCGGATGGAGAGGAAATCGCGTAAGCCAGCCGGGGACCCCCCAATCTGGGAGGAAATGGAGCCATAGGTTTTGTGGGGATTCGGAGATACCCAAAGCCGGCGTGGCGGCTTCGCGCCGGCGCAGGCTCTGGACCTTTTGTATGAGTGCGGCGCTGGGCTGGGCGCGGGTAGGGTGACCTAGGCGAGGGGAAGGGGCTCCCTAGGGCAGCGGGGTGCGGAAGGTTCGGGTGTCGCCTCTGGACGCTTTGCGCTTCCCCAAAGAATGCGGGTTTCCCCATGGGCGCGAGGGCGGGCGCGGCGTCAGGACGCAAGAGTTCTGTTTTCCCTGGGTTTCTCGGTTTCCAGGTGAGAGCTGCGGCTCCCCGCGCAGCCCTGGCGCAGGCAAACCTGGGGGTGCGGGTCCTTTCCTCACTGAGTAGCTGGAGGTCTGGCCTCTCAGCACTTTCGTTCTGAGACCCGCACCCTGGCTGTCCACAGCCCCTTGCATTCCAAATCTATGTCCTCTCTGCCCCGCCAGATTCCTGCCTCCCATCCGCCAAACCTGCGCCAGCAATAGATATTCCCACCCGCTCAAAATCCCCGCAGCTGCAGCCTCTCCTCTTCCCCCACCAGGACCTGGTGCAAGGAGACAAGCAGAGTTTCTCCTTAACTTGAGTTTCTCTAATAAATCTGCGCTCCGCTGGGTGTTTATAAATTGTCTCCTCGCTCTTTTTTTTTTTTTTTTTTTTTCTTATAATAGAAACATTTTCCTTCCATCAGGAATTTCTGGCACAATGTAGAGATGATTTAGAACAAGCCATTGAATTTGTACCTCACCGGTGAGTTCTCAAATCATGACCATAAAATCCTCTGCACTTGATAAAAACGTTTGCTTCGGCAACAACTTAACTCTGCCCTCCATTGCCTCACGGTCCCCTCAGCCACGCGCTGAAAATTCAAAGCCCTAGTGCTCTCCCCCTCTCTTTTCATTTCTCTCTCTCCCTCTTGTAGCCTCTCTCTCATTCTCTGGGCTCACTTTTGAAGAACTAAATGACCCTACTGGTAAGGTTCCCTGTGGAAAAGTGATAGTTTCATTTTTACAAATGTTGGAGTCTACGGAGTCCCCGAAAGGTGCCCGTCTAAAAACAAACCACTATCTCCTGAATGAACAATGGATTGAATGTATTTGTAAAGCCTCCACTTTTGTTGTTCAAATTTTTCTTTCTCTCCTTCCTTTCCCTTACCAATCTACTGCTACAGGAGGCCCTTGGTTCTGACCCTAAGACCAGCCTTCTAAAGCCTGGCCACCACCATCGTGAGGCCGGGCAGGCAGGGAAGGCAGTGGCCACAGAGTGTGGCACCCAGTCAGCTTGTTCCAGCATTCTGCGTGCGGGCGTCTGGTCCCCAGGTCTGCAGGGAGAGCCAAGCCAGGTTTAACTAGAGGCTCCCCAAGGGTAAATGGGAGAAAATGGGGGACTCAGCAACCTTGCTCTATCTGAATCCCACACCCCGGTCAGTTTAGGTACTGACAGTGGCTCAAAAGGTCTTGGGGACACTGAGGACTAATAGATGCCCCCCAAACACATTCTTAGCAGCCACTGCCTAAAGCAGCTGAGAGCATGACAGTGGGCACCAAGGCCAGGTGCCAGGGCCTGATACCCTGCCACAGCCTCCATCACCCTTCTTTCCTCTTGATGTGTTGATGGGCTTAGTGGTGCCCTCCCACGCTAGGGCACTGCAGAAGGTGTGGAGGTCAGCCTGGGAAGTTTGGGAGCTATTGATAACTGGGCTTGGCTGCTTGGCCCTAAGGCCTGGGAGCAGGTGCACAGCACCCCATTAGGGTTTCACCCCTCTGATGGCATCAGGCCCTCTCTTCTCATGCAAAGTCTGCCCTCAAAAGTGCTGACTGGACTGAAGGAACTTCAGGAGACCCCCTTTTCAGCAAGCAGAGGTTGCAGTGAACCTGTAGAATGGGCAGTGGCAGGTCGAACTTTGCTCTGTGCTTCAGCCACTGCTCATTAACCAGAAAGTTTCTTCTTCCCTCCCGGTCCCTCCTCAAGATCTCCCAGACCCCTGCTCCACAGAAAATCTTTGCTTATTTTTTAATGAGAGGAAGTTGTGTGACTGACCAGGGCAGGGCAGAAAGGAGACTTTTTGGGGGCTCCAGAAAAGGGGTGAAGGCAGGTGCTTGCCAGGATGGAAGGAGGTGAAAATCTCAGAAAAGTCACCGTTTGTGCCGGAAAAAATCCCCATAATCATTTTCATTTCGGCTTCGTCACCCCCACCGTGCTGCAGTCGGGCGGCGGGGGCGATCGAAGCTGCAGTTTTATAGCTGTAGAGGAAAGAACTCGTAAAATGTTAACAGCTTTTATGCGCTGCGGCATAAACAACAACAGACTCCAGCTTTATTGCGTTTTATAGTTTGTTAAAGAGTTTACAGCCGTTTTTTGGGGGGCCGGTTACCCAGCCAATTCCCTCCACACGATAGTTAAACCTTTATCAATAATAAGGAAATTGATCATTAAACCTTTAAATATGACTACCTCGTTTGTTTGAAAATATGTTTAGGAGAGGAAGCTGTATGATTTGATAACTTGTATTAAAATACCAATTACATTTATAGGACCTTTTAAAACTCGGCGCAATTAAACCGTGTTCTTTTACATTTTTCCGAAGCGACCCTGACATTTAGAAAGACTCCAATTGCCTCGTTAAAATCGCGAAATTAACAGCGTGCCTACGCCTGGCTTGTTGTGTATGTGTGTGTGCGCGTGTTTTTTTCCGTGACTCCCCCACATCAGTCTTTGGGGGTGGTCTGCGAAGGTATTTGATTTGTTGTGAGGCGAGAGATATCTCATTAATGTAGGTAGTTAAACAGATTTAATCCGTATTCATTCTCTCTCACCCCCTCTCCCTCTCCCCCTCTCTCTCCCCCTCTCCCCCTCTCTCCCTGGGTGTTTTTTTCTTCCCCTCCTTTTTTTTTTTTTCAATCTCTCCTCACTCCCTGGCGTTCTCTCGCTCTAGCTCTCTCTCTCGCTCGCTCTCTCTCGCTTTCACCCTCGCTCTGCGTTCTGTCCGGGAGGAGTACGAAGAAGCCAATAGGATGCGGGGTCTCTAATGGATGCAAATGATCATGAAAAGACAGTGCAAAATATGAAACAACTCATTTGCAGGGAAGTAAATCACCGAAAACTGTTTATGAACTGGCATCCCTTCTTCGAAATGTAAAGCGAGGACCTCTTTAAGTGGCGGTATATTTTTGTTTGGGGGGTGGGGGGTGGGGGGAGGGCGAGCGAGACGCGGCTGCCATGCAAGCTTAGACTTTTGGAGGCTTCTCTTTTTCTATTCCTGAAAATCACAAAAAGTGTGTAGGCTTCGAGATCTTCTTAGCCTTTTCTTTCTTTTTTTTTCCTCCTCCCTTTCCCTCTCCTTTCCTGGCGAGGGTGACTAGGAGCCGGCGAATCCGCGTTTTTTTTCTCTCTCCCTCCCTTTCCCCCTCCCCACCCCCTCCCCAACAGCCCCCAACTACAGCCTCCGCCGCCGCCGCCGCCGCCTCAAAATTCAATAAAATGAGCTCTTATTTCGTCAACTCACTGTTCTCCAAATACAAAACCGGGGAGTCCCTGCGCCCCAATTATTATGACTGCGGCTTCGCCCAGGACCTGGGCGGCCGACCCACCGTGGTGTACGGTCCCAGCAGCGGCGGCAGCTTCCAGCACCCGTCGCAAATCCAGGAGTTCTACCACGGGCCGTCGTCGCTGTCCACCGCTCCCTACCAGCAGAACCCGTGCGCCGTGGCGTGCCACGGGGACCCCGGCAATTTCTACGGCTACGACCCGCTGCAACGCCAGAGCCTATTCGGTGCGCAGGATCCAGACCTGGTGCAGTACGCAGACTGCAAGCTTGCCGCCGCCAGCGGCCTGGGCGAGGAGGCCGAGGGCTCGGAGCAGAGCCCGTCGCCCACACAGCTCTTCCCCTGGATGCGCCCGCAAGGTGAGCTCGCCTCGGGGCAGGCAAGGCACGATGGGGCCGGGAGGGCCTAAGGCCGGGCAGGGGGCCAGGCAGGCCGGGGCGCATTTCCTCCAGCTTCTGGAAGACTTGCCGGCTCCGTTCCGATAGCCTGCCGCTTTTTCCCTTTCTTTCTTTCTTCCTTTCTCTTTCTTTCTTCTTTCTGTCTTTTTTGTTCCCCTTGAAGGGGTCGCTCAGAAACATTTCCTGAATCTATAAACCCCTCACCCTGCCTTCCTTTTCTTCTTCTTCCCCTCCTTTTTTCCCTTTTACTGTTTTATGGGGGGTAGTGAAGAGAGGGTGGTGGGTGTGGGGCGCTCAACTTTTGCACTTCTCAATTGCTTTATAGTTTAATTACCCTGAAGAAACTTTTCTTCTGGGGCAGAGGCTCTGGGGGCTTTTCAAGGTGGGTCCATTCGTCCCCACCCGGCTTTTTTATTCTTATCCCCCCCCCCCACATCCTTCCTCCCAAAGTTTATGGCACTTTTAATCTGAACCACCTCCTACCCGACTCTGGTGCTGGTTACCAGGGGAGGGGGCTCCCCTTTCTGGCTCCCTTAGATTCAGTGGTGTCTGATCCCCCTCGCCCCCCTCCTCCGCTGACCGCGGCCTTCTCGCGCCCCCCGCCCCCGTACGGGGTAGAAGGTCTCCTGCCCTTATTATACTGGTCTCCTAGGCTCGTTCACGAATCTTCCAACCTTCTCCGTCTCTGCCCCCTCCCCCACCCTCCCCTCCCCTCTGTCTCGCCCTTTCCCCCATTCCCAGCAGCCGCCGGACGCAGGCGAGGCCGACAGACCTACAGCCGCTACCAGACCCTGGAGCTGGAGAAGGAGTTCCTATTTAATCCCTATCTGACTCGCAAGCGACGAATCGAGGTATCGCACGCGCTGGGACTGACAGAGAGACAGGTCAAAATCTGGTTCCAGAACCGGAGGATGAAGTGGAAAAAAGAGAACAACAAAGACAAGTTCCCCAGCAGCAAATGCGAGCAGGAGGAGCTGGAGAAACAGAAGCTGGAGCGGGCCCCGGAGGCAGCGGACGAGGGCGACGCACAGAAGGGCGACAAGAAGTAGGCTCCAGCTAGGACTGCCAGGGCCGCGGCCGCCCGCACGTCCGCGGGTCCCGGCCGCGCCGCCGCCGCCGCCTGCCCCCCGCCCGAGAGAGCTCTGGCCCCGCTAGCGGGGCCAGGAGTCGGGCCTCCCACCGCAGCGTCCCCCGCCGCGCCAGTCCCCGCTAGTGGTAGTATCTCGTAATAGCTTCTGTGTGTGAGCTACCGTGGATCTCCTTCCCTTCTCTTGGGGGCCTGGGGGGGAAAGAACAGGATTTAAGCAAGGACTCCCTCGCCCTGTGAGGGTGAGCGGCCAAGGCCCGGCTGAGCCCCCCACGCCCCTTCCCACCCCTTGTAAAAAGTCTCCTTGTGCAATGGTCTTTTTCCTTTGAACGTGCTTCTTTGTAATGACCGAGGTACCGATTTCTGCTAAGTTCTCCCAACAACATGAAACTGCCTATTCACGCCGTAATTCTGTCTCCCTCTCCTCTCCTCTCCTCCTCTCTCTCTCTCTCTCTCTCTCTCTCTCTCTCTCTCCCTCTCTCTCTCTCTCTCTCTGCGTTCTCATTTCTCCGAATCGTCTCTCCCTGCTGCACCCCCCCCAGCTCGCTGGCTTTCTCTCTGGCTTCTCTCTTTTCCTCCTCCACCCACCCCCTTTGGTTTGACAATTTTGTCTTAAGTGTTTCTCAAAAGAGATTACTTTAGTTAGCATGCGCGCTGTGGGCAATTGTTAAAAGTGTTCTTAGGTTTACTGTGAAGAGAATGTATCCTGTATCCGTGAATTGCTTTATGGGGGGGGAGGGAGGGCTAATTATATATTTTGTTGTTCCTCTATACTTTGTTCTGTTGTCTGCGCCTGAAAAGGGCGGAAGAGTTACAATAAAGTTTACAAGCAAGAACCCGAGTCTGGCCCGGCCAGCGCTCCTCATTTGCTCCCGGGTGCCTTGGAGAGCCGGTGGGGAGCCTGTCACCGGGCTCCTGCGCCTGCTGAGGCTAGGCCGCGGAGAGGAGGGGGCGGGGGCTGGAGGCAGGTGGTGCGAGTCCCTCGGCCCAGGGGCGCAGGGGGTGAGGGAGGCGGCTGCGCCTGATTGGAGGAGAGAAAAACGAGGGAGGGGAGCCAAGAGAAACCCCCTCCTCTTGCGTTCCGAGGCTGCCCGGGCTGGGAGACCAGGGCGCCCAGGCCACGCTGGAGACGAGCGCCTGGGCTGGTGGCTGTGTCCCCCGCCGCCTCCCTCTTTGTTTTGCTGTGAGTCCTATGAAGTGTGTGTGTGTGGGGGGGGGCGCATAAAGGTGGAGTGCAGGCCTGCTGAGCATACTTCTTTTATCCCCCCCTCGGACTCTTGGGGGAGCAGGAGAAGGGAGACCGCCCTTCCCTGCCTCTCCCTCTCTGGGACTTGGCCACCTTCTCTCTGTTCTGAGGCCATGGCTCACCACCTTCCTTCCTTCGCTGCCTCTGCTTCTCTGGTAGTCACGCTCCACTGAGGCATCCGCCTCCGGAACCGGGAAAGCAGCGCGCCCGGGCCACCCTCCACCCTTCCTTTCTCTCCCCATCCACCCAACCCCCTTCTTTCTTTTACTTTCAAACCTGTTTTTTTTTTTGTTGTTTTGTTTGTTTTGTTTGTTTTTTTAGCCATCAGAAACTGCAGCGTCCAAGGCCCATTGGCTGGATCCTGTGCCCTAGGAGCACCTAGGAAGCCTCGCTTCATCTCCGCCCGCAAATCTGGGGCACCGAGAGAGAGAGACAGAGCCGTGAGCTAGGCTCACCTTATTCCTCGTCTTGGGAGAACCGGACAACTTCCCCAAAAGGCCTTGCAGTGCAGAATTGGCCCGGATAAATAAAGACCAGACCTGCCCCACGCGCCCACCTTCCCAGTTGCATGCATTCAATCCCTGCGTTTGTCTCCAGCTCGGTAAAGGGCTGGAGAGGATGGGTAGCGGGGTGACAACACGATCGCCCTGAGGTTATTTATTCTCCCTTCCTCTCAATCTCTTCCTCCCCAAACCTCGCCAGCAAGCTGCCTCCAGCCCGCGGGAGTCAGCAGCGGCCCTTGAGCCCCCAGCCCCAATCCACAAGGCTCGGCTTTCCCATTCATTATTGATCATATTTTATAAATCCAACGCCACACAATTTTTTCCACATTACCGGGAGCCGTGGGGAGGCGGCCCAGCCATTGGCAGAGGGGAAGTCACGTGGGCGGGGGTCACGTGGTCCGGAGAGGAAAAAGGGGGTCCTTTTTGGTGTAAATCTGGACTCTAATTCTGTAATATATCAAGGAATCTCGTAAAACCGACACTAAAACGTCCCTGCCTACAAATCATCCGGCCAAATTATGAGTTCATTGTATTATGCGAATGCTTTATTTTCTAAATATCCAGCCTCAAGTTCGGTTTTCGCTACCGGAGCCTTCCCCGAACAAACTTCTTGTGCATTTGCTTCCAACCCCCAGCGCCCGGGCTATGGAGCGGGTTCGGGCGCTTCCTTCGCCGCCTCGATGCAGGGCTTGTACCCTGGCGGGGGGGGCATGGCGGGCCAGAGCGCCGCCGGCGTCTACGCGGCCGGCTACGGGCTCGAGCCGAGTTCCTTCAACATGCACTGCGCGCCCTTTGAGCAGAACCTCTCCGGGGTGTGTCCCGGCGACTCCGCCAAGGCGGCGGGCGCCAAGGAGCAGAGGGACTCGGACTTGGCGGCCGAGGGTAACTTCCGGATCTACCCCTGGATGCGAAGCTCAGGTAACGCCGCGCACCGAGCTGTCCCGAGCCCCAGGGGCCCGAGCACATTACTCGGAAGGCGCCCCCTTCCCGGCCGGGCGCCCCTTTCCGCGTCCAGAGTGCTCCCAGCCGGAGGCCGGCCCTGGGACGCTGCACCCACTGGTCGCGGCTGCCCCCGCCCCCACATTTGCTCGGTGCTCGCAGGCTCGTTCTGCTTCCCGGCTGGTCTCTCCTCGCCGACGCCACGGCGCTGCGAGCACCCAGCCCACCCCCACCCTTCCTCTTGGCCTTTTAGCTTTAAATATTTATCAGCAGCGCCGGCACGGGGTGGAGACGAGGCCGTTTGTCTCGCGGAGGAAGGCTGGGGTTTGCAGAGAATAGCCATTAGGGTCTCCCCCCTCCCCTTTCTTAGCTAAGGATCTCAGCCCTGGGTGTGTCCCCCTACCCGAGCTCGAATAAGGTATGGGGGAGGGGGCCTTAGCGCTAAGCAATTCTCCCCTCCCCCTTTATTCGCTCCCCCTTCCCCAGCGAACCCCACTCCCCCAATTATTCCTATCAGCTCAATTAGTGGTGGGCTCTAGAGGCCTGACGGGAGTAGAAAAGGACCCAGCCTGGGACACAGAACCAGAGAGGCAGGTGGAGGGAGGGGGCTGAGACCAAGAGAGATGAGCCTCCTGACCCCAGTGAACTTGGGTTGGGGAGCGGAACAGGAGAACTAGAAAGGCAGAGGCCTCATGGGACTGCAGCTTCCTCAGGTGCTCTGCCTAGGGCTCCTAGGCACCCCTAAAAAACTGGCCAAGTTTGGAGGTATACTCCAGATAAGTGACTCTCCTCTTCGGGAAGGGGCTAGGAGGAGCCAAATCAAAACTTAGAGAGTGTAGTTCACCCAGCCAGCTGCTGCAGGAACCCCAAGAGGCTGAAGTTCCAGAGGGTCCCTGCCAAGTCTGGCCCAGACATTCTTTTCTGCACTGTTCCACAGCAGATGAACTTGGGGGCTAGCCCCAAAGTCCAGAAGACCCAAGACTCATGGTCAGAGGCACCCAGCCCAGTGATGGTCACGGGCCAGAAGAAGCCCAGCTCTCACACCATCAGTATTGGTGGTTATAGACCCCATTACCTACTCCATAGTTTAACTGTCTTTCCAGTTGATTTATCAAAGCCCCCATTTTTCTGCTCATAGGCATTTCAGCTTGACTTTTATGTGACTTGAAACTAGGGCCCCAACCCCTCCTCCCTTGTCTCCTTCCCAGGAGCACCTCTTTCAAGTCTCCTCAGGGTTCTGGGCCTAACGTAGAAGTTCCCCTCTGCCCTTCCGCCCTCACTGCCCAGATACTCCATGTTCCATCCTATCCCAGGCTGCTGTCTCTCTCCTCTCCCCCGGGCCTTCCTGGAGGCCCAAAGATTGCTTTAGGTAGCTGGGCTGTCTAGGCAAGCAGGCAAGCAGGACACCCTGGTCCTGTCTGAAGCTTAGCCACTCACTGGAAAAGAATCATCAGAGGGTCAACTGCTGTCAGACCAACTCTTTGCTCCAAGGAAATCTGCAAATTCTTACCTTCACATTCCATTACATGCTGGGGGTGAGTTGGAGGGACTGGGCCTTTGAGGCCCCTTTGTCTCCTTTTCTTCTTGGGAAACATTCTCAAGCCAGGCCTGGCACCCCACTCCAGGGTCACTTGCATGGTTTCTGTTGGCCTCTACTGGAAAGACCATCAGATCAGCATTCAGAAAAGGAGGTTTAGGGTCCTTGATCCTAGAGAGTGAAAGGAGGATTAATCTCCCCTTATCCCACTTGCACCCCTTAGGAGCAGAGCCTTCAATAGCCAGCAGGTTATTTTCCTGGGTTCAGAAGCTCCAGGCTGAAAAAGACTTCTTGGATAGAAAATGGGAATGTTTGCCTTGAGAAGCCTGTAGAAAATTCTGCAATTGAAGGGATACTGTAGCTGGAATAAGGGCTGGGGTATGGAAAGCCAGAATTTGGTTTAGTGGGAAAATGGGCTTCTTCACCCATCAACTTCAAATCACAGACAGGGTCTAAGAGGGAGGTGAGCACTCTTTTGGAGTTTTCTGCACTCACTGATTTTCCTCTAAATACTGTGCGCAGGAACCGACCGCAAACGAGGCCGCCAGACCTACACCCGCTACCAGACCCTGGAGCTGGAGAAAGAATTTCACTACAATCGCTACCTGACGCGCCGGCGGCGCATCGAGATCGCGCACGCGCTCTGCCTCACAGAAAGACAGATCAAGATTTGGTTTCAGAACAGGCGCATGAAGTGGAAAAAGGAGAACAAGACCGCGGGGCCCGGGACCACCGGCCAGGACAAGGCTGAAGCCGAGGAGGAAGAGGAAGAGTGAGGGATGGAGAAAGGGCAGAGGAAGAGAGATGAGAAAGAGAGAGGAGGAGAAGCCCAGCTATGGGAACTGAATCAGGAAACTCAAATCAAATAGAGAAGTAAAAACAAACAAACAAAAACTATTTAAATGAAAGAAGTTTTAAAATTCTTTCTAAGGAGAGAGAAAGTTGAAATATTAGTTTTTCAACACTGAAAAAATACTACCTATAGGAAAGTCTGTCAGTTTTTTGGGTTTTTTGTTTGTTTGTTTGTTTGTTTTGTTTTGTTTTGTACAGGATGAGAAGGACATTATCTACCTGTTCTGTAGCTTTCTGGAATTTACCTACCCTTTTCTATGTTGCTGTTGTAAGGTCTTTGTAATATCTTGCTGTTTTGTAAGCCCTCTTTGATGCTGTCTTTGTGGACTGTGGGTCTGGACTAGCCCTGTGGTTGCCTGCCCTCCTGAGCCTCTGCCTTCCCAGTAGCAGCACCGAGGGGTCTTAGGGAGCCCCAAAACCTACAACTCGCGTGTTCTCCAAGCGCCTGGCCGCTGCTCCTTGCTTCCCATCCCTTGGCCTCATGCTCCCTTTTACATTCTATGTGTATCTAAAAGATGGAAAAATAAAACACAATTCAAAATAAACAAATGCCCTGTATTCTGTGTAAGGCTGGGAAGGGGTCGGGGTTAGCGATGACCCCTTGGCTCTGACTTCTGATGAAGGTTCATTTCTGTGCTGGGTTTGTTCTTTTTCTTGGTGCCTCCTGCTCTGGGTGGGGGCTGCCAACTAGTGAACCCCAGTATTTCACTCATGCATTCCCTTTACACCCTTTTACACACATTGAGATACATGATGCAC